TGGTTAGAGCATGGTGTTATAACACCAAGCTCAAGGGTTTTGATCCCCACACCAGCAAGCCCCCCCGCCAAAAAATTAGAGTCCCAAGTTTCAACCCCCAGTAAGTCTGGAGTGGGGCCTGGGCATCAGCATTTAAGAAAAGCAGGTATTTCTGATGCCATATTTGTGTCTGATCGAGACAGTCAACATTCGTTTCCAAAGACTAAACCCAATTTCCACGAAACTCCTTTTGATGTAGACTCAGTCCAGAGAGAGAGGATCAGGTGGGTTTACCCAGAGACAACACCACAGTCAGGTTGTTCTCTTTTTCTTTTTCCCACTGTCCAAAGTCCCAGCCAGCCCGAGGTAGAGGCAACCTACCAAATCTCTCTTATTATAAAAACTCATGGAGGAACACAGGATGATCAGAACAACCAGTCCTATTGGGCAAAGCTCATTCGGTCCTTCTGATGTCCTTAACTGGGTATAGAAAAAGAGGAAGTTCTGTGACCCGTCACTACCCGGCCTCTTCCCCTCCTCTGCCTGCCTCTCTCCCTTCATTTGGGAGAATGTGCAGCCCTTTGAAAAACCTGTTCTTTTGGTGCATTTTTGCTTCTGTCCCATGTAACGCCCCATCGCTCTGAGGCTGGACTCTCCAAACAAAAACGTCATGTGGAAAATGGGCTTTCTCGTGTTCCTTTTCCCTCTTTCAGCTCAAAAAGCTGTACCGGATTGTCAGACAATGAGAAAAAATGGTAAGTTTCGTTTCCTTCTCTCCTACTAAAACCATTTTCGGTGAAATGATGAGATGGTCAGCTTTAAACATGAGCATTCATTCATGAGTTTTCTATGCTTTCAGAGGAACGACCAAAGAACAAAGTCTTTTTAGTTACCTGCTGCTTAAAATAAAATGATTTAGGAGGAAAGTTGAAGCATTTTTTTTTGAGACTCAGTGACAAAATATTGTTTTTACGATGAAATTTTTCTAACATTCTTTGTGGTTATTTTTAAACTAGAAAACCTACACATAATTGTTGTAAAATAATTCAAGCAACACTAGAAATATATAGTGGGAGACAGTCTATCAGAGAGTTAGACCACGTTGGTCCTAACCCTGGTTGTACGGTTTACCAGCTGGCAGCCTGGGCACATGATGTGACCCCCGTAAGCTTTCTTTCCCTCATCTGTGAAGTGGGGATAATAAAAGTGCCTACCTGAGAGGGTGGTCGTGATGGTTGAATGAGACGATCCTCGTTCCTCAGCACAGCGCCTGGCATTTGGTAAACCACCAGTAAATGCTAGCCACGGTTGTCATTGTCACTATGTGAAGTGTGAAAGTTCTGTGACACCTCCTCCAAGCCCCCTCCCCTCTCTTTTTCCAGAAGCAACCACTATCAACAGCCATTTTCTATTCAGTATCATGGTTAAAAAACAAACAAACAAACAAACAAACAAAAAATGCTTCTGTGACTTATCTTTTTTCTTAAAATATCATAGACATTTCTAAGTCGTGGATATAGGTTTATCTCATTTTTTCAACAGCTGCATGGTATTTTATAATACAACTCAGCCATAATTTATTTAACCATACCTATATTGTTTCACTTTCTTTTTTTGGTCATATAAACAATGCTGCAATAAACATCCTTGTACAAAACATTTTTTGTGAACAGGAGAGTTCGAGAACATCTCTGTGGATGAAATCCTAGAAGTGAAATTGTCAGGTCAAAGGGCATATCCATTTAAATTGTCTCAGGTCCTGTTAAGTTGTCCTCCTGACAGGCTGAACCTATACACGGTCACCAATAGTGTGGGCGAGCGTGAGTTTCCCACATCCTCCCTGATGGTAGATACAATCATTTTTTTAAATTTGTGGCAATCTGACGAGTGAAAAATATCTCAGTGCTGTTTTAATTGGAAGTTGTCTCGTCACTTGTGAAGTTGAGCATCTTTTTCATGTTTATTGCTTCATAAATTCCCATATACTGGAAATTCAGAGATGGCTATCTTCTTGGAAAGGGAGGTGAGGTCTTGGATTGAGCTTATGTAAGTCTGAAAAAATGATAATTGTGCAGATCAAAGAGTGGGAGGGGAGTTGAAGGCATTTTTGAGGGGTCTAAATCTGTCCTCCACCCAAGCCATCCATTGACCCCAACACTGTTTAGTGGCCATCTGAATTTGCTCTTTTGGGCATTACCTACTCATATTATTTGTCCATTTATTTAATTGTTTGTATTTCTTATCGATTTGCAGGATATAACTGGGAAGTGTCCTGGCTAGGAACTGACCTGTCACTGTTAGGTCATGGTGTTCTGCTATTGAACATAATTCAATATCAATTTCTGTAGATAAAAAGAATCCTTTGCTCTTATTTACATTTTGAGCATTTTATTCTAGACTGTCACTTGACTTTTAATTTTTTCGTAGAGAAGTTTTGAGTTTTTGGGTAGTCAATTTTTTCAATCTTTTCTTTATGGCTCCTAATTTTTGTGTCTTACTTGGAAGACCTAATCTTACATCAGATTTTCTGTTAAGGGTTATTTTTTCCCTTAGCTTTTCTAAATAATAAACAAACAAATAAAAAAGCTGTGAAAGACTATTGCGATGATGTCAAATGGACTCAAGAGGCAATTTGAAAAGGTTTACAGTGGTCAAAAAAAATGGGACAATAAAAATAATAACTGCAGTGAATTGAAATACATCAAATATGTTCAAATCTATGAGTTCATAGTGATTCTTAAAAGAAAAACATCTCATTGTTATAAGATTTTAGGGAACCAGCTTATTTTCTATTTTTTCGAAATTGGTCAGTAAAGGGAGAGAAGCATTTATCTTGCCTTTTCTATGCAAACTGTACCTCAGTGTCACCAAATGTTGATCAGGGCAAGATTCTCTTTATAGAATTATTTCAGATAATAAATAAAGGAGGAACAAAAGAATTAGTATGTACAACTTTGCAACCTCTAGTGAATTAATGCTTCTAGGTGATTATTGTCAAAGGCTACTAACAAATGAAAAGAGAAATAATCAGATATTATGTGCTTCCTAATGGAAGTTCACACTACCCTCTATGATGCATTCTTGTTAGATAAAAGCTAATCTGGGGCTGGCCCGATGGTGCACTGCTACAGTGCACCACTTGGGAGCGTGGCGGCGCTCCCGCCGAGGGTTCGGATCCCACATACAGACCGACCGCTCGCTGGCTGAGCAAGGTGCAGGCGCGACACCGAAGGTTGCGATCCCGTTGCCGGTCCTGGTCTGGTACGGGCACGACACTGAGGGTTGCGATCCGTTGCCGGTCACGAAAAAAGACAAAAAGGAAAAAAAAATAATAAAAATAAATTTAAAAAAAAAAAAAAGCTAATCTGTATTTCATCAAATCTGTGACTCTAATTACTGATTTACCAGAAATACAGGAGACAGAGGAACTTGGTAAATTATATCATGGGGATATAAGATCAACAAAAATCCAAACCATGGAAAACATTACAGAACAAACGACTTGCAATCTCAATGAATAAATTCCAAGGGGGAAAAAAAAGAGGTGGAAAGGCATATAGAATAAAAAAGAAAAAAACAAACAAAAGAACCCTTAAGAAAATGTATCAACCAATTGCAACAGACCATATCTGGATCAAAATTCAAACAAAAAACTGTAAAAAAAAATTAGATGATTAGAGAAATTTAAATAATAACTAAATATTTGATAATTTTTTAAAAATATTTTCAATTTTTAGATGTGATAATGGTGTCATTATATTTATAGAAAAAGCTCTTGTCTTCTTAGAGATACAAGCTATTGAGTTCCTCCAGCCAGAGATCACCAGGCACACACACGTAATTGAACAAAGTTGGATTTTTGGTGGGTTTTTTAATGTATTTGTGTTCACCTTTAATAATGACATGCTATGAAAAAAACTTAGCACACCATCATAGTCATTTTATTAAAGGGAAGACTATTGCATGGTGTCTGGCTGTGTAAGCTACTGCAAAGTTGGGTTTATTGATGACTTGTGATGAGGGAAAACACACATCACTGGGAACACTGGGACATCTCAGCAACAGGATGTGAACTTGTATTAGGTGATTTGGAGAAGGAATGCTCTAGATTGGATTCTTTCAAGAAGTGGGAGTAATTCTACGATTGGGTAATTTAGCAATTCTTATCTAAGAGGCAAGAAGAACAGAGTCAGGGTAAAGCTGTGATTAGTGATGAAGCAGCAGTCTCTTACACTAGCCAGTTTAGGGGGATGCTTGGCCATTTTTGTGGTTTGGACAATGTTCATGTCTTTATGGAGTGGTCTTGTTTTTGTCTCAACCCATCATGGCCATACAGTGGCCTTGTCTGGTGTCAGTGGTCTATGAAATTATTTATGTTCAACGGCAGAACACCAAGCCCTAGCTGTGACAGGTCAGGTCCTAGCCAGGCCATTTCCCAGCTATCATGCTATCTCTTTCTCTTACTGAAATTTATGGATGAAACATGTGGTCTGGGATTTGTTTGGGGGCAGATGAAATGGAATTGAGATGATAATTGTTGAAAGTTGGGTGGATACACAGGGGTACGTTATACTGTCTTCTCTACTATTGTGTTTGAAATTTTCCAAAATAAAAAAATTTAAAGTAAATAATGGACAAAACAAGTCACCAGATGTAATGTTTGGTCATAGAACTTGGAACTCTTTTCATATTTATAACTCAGCATAGCCAGTCTTAAGAGTCTACTTCAGGTTCTCACTGGCAAGACAGGTGACAAGCACAAAAGACTTTGCCTGGTCAAGTCCACCCATCAGTCACTGGGAGGAACCTCTGTGGGCACTGAGCTTCCCCATGCACTGATCCATCTGTGCAGGCAAGAAATGCCTCCCTTAGGAAAGCTCACCAGGAACAGTGTCCCACCAACTCGACCCATCAAAATATGGCTAGGCAACCACTGAGTTATTACCAAGGGATTTTAACAAGGACTTTTTGTGTCATTTTGTTTTCTAGCACTCCTTTCTCCGAGTTTGTACCCAGAAACTAATGTAGTCATGAAGGGTCAAAATGTATCTCTGTTTTGTTCCAACAAGAACAAATCACTGCAGATCACTTATTTGTTGTTTCGGAGTGGGATATTCCTGCAATCCCAGGAAGGAAAAGGTGCCCCCACAGTTTTCAACCTGAGCATCTCAGAAGTCCGTGATTTGGGCCCCTACAAATGCAAAGCCCAAGTTTCCAACTGTTCAGGATATAGTGGCGAGTTCAACTTCACAGCTGTGGGTGAGTCAAGCACTTGCTACTTGGAGGCCTGCGATCTGTGAGACTCTCTCCTGTTCTATGAAGGGCTCTCCTTTCCCCTTGAGAACTCTTACTCAAGAGTTTGGAAAGTATGTCGCTGATGTCTTTATTCCTTTTTATTTATTTATTTATTTTTGTCTTTTTTGTGACCGGTAAGGGGATCGCAACCCTTGGCTTGGTGTCGCCCACACCGCGCTCAGCCAGTGAGCGCACCGACCATCCCTATATAGGATCCGAACCCGCGGCGGGAGCATCGCTGCACTCCCAGCACTGCACTCTCCTGAGTGCGCCACGGGCTCGGCCCCCTGTCTTTATTCTTAATAATTCCATTTCAACTTTCTCTTTCAAAGACTTGACTATTTCAGATAATAGTCATATCTTTAGGTAAAATTCTTAGGTCTCAACAATAAAATTGCTGAGATCTTTCTGATGCTTTCTTTATTCCAAGATTCCCACATACTGCCAAATACTATTTTTTTTTCTGAAGACTCAGGTGAGACGTCTTGGAATCAGTGTTGGGCCCTGGGCCTTTCCCACTTTCTTCCCCCTGCATCAGGTGCCCCTTCGGCCAGCACTCTTCCTGCCCAGCCACATCTTATTACGTCTAGATTTTTCTCTCCCATCTTCCTACCCCAGGCCTATTGCAGCTTAGCATTAATGGCCTCATCTGTGAAGGTGACTTGATAATGGGCTCCTGGGAAAGGGAGGGAGGGCTTTCAGGTGATACGTGTACATTGTACCTGGAGTTTTCTAAACATAGGGACCTTGACTTCCTGATCAATTCTGAGTGATACTTCAGGTCTGTGCTATCTTGTACAGTAGCCACCAGCAACATGTGGCTATTTAAATTTAAGTTCAAATTAATTACAATTAGATTAAATAAAAAATTCAGTTCCACGGTCTCGGTTACATTTCAAGTACTCAATAACCACAGGTGGCTGGTGACTGCCATATTTGACAACACAGAGATAGAGCATTTCCATCATTACAGAAAGTTCTACTGGACAACACTTCTCTAGGTCAATGATTCTTAGCTTTTTAGGTTATAACTGTCATAATAATCTAATGATAGTGACGAATACTTTCCCCAGAGACATGCTCATAAGACTGCAGATGGAAATTTTTGCATAAGGTTTTAGAGTATACTATAGGCTCCAGGTTAGAACCAATGATCTTTAGACGTAAATTGAGTACAAGTCACAATTGTAAAAGAAATATGAAAACGAAGGGGGAAAACCTGCAAGCATAGTACTTAACTGATAATATTCTCTAGTGGTCAGACTCGTGCTGGACTGAGCAGTAAATCCATCCATGCATATATTTTCTGTGCACAACTTTTCTGCAATTTGTCAGAATAATTACACTGTCCTGATAGACTGTAAAACTGTGTCAACTTCAATTAAGTTAGATCAACAGTTATCTATCGAGTGCCTATTCTGTGCAAGCAGTTGTGCTACTAGGATCTCAGTGATGCCCAAGACATCATTGACAATAAGGGTTGAGGGTAAGAGCCATAAACACAAATTCTTTAATCATTGATTCACTCATCAAATATGTAATGAGAACCCAGATGTGCCAACCTCTGGATATACATTGGTTCCTTCCCTTGTGGAGCATACAGATTAGTGGGGGAGACACAAAACCCAAGTACCCAAACGAATAAATCACAAACTGTGTTGATTGCTGCAAAGAAACAGAAACAGGCAAAGTAATGGAGAAAAGCAGAGGACAGGGGACCTACTTAGGTAGGGTAGTTGTGGAAGGCTTTTCAAAGAAAATGGTATTTAGGTAGAGCCCTGAAGGATGAGAAAAAGCTATGTAAAGAGACAGGGGAGGGGCCGGCCCGGTGGCGCACTGCTACAGTGTGCCGCTTGAGAGCGCGGCGCCGCTCCCGCCAAGGGTTTGGATCCCACATACAGACCGGTTCCCGCTCACTGGCTGAGCGAGGTGTGGGTGCGACACCGAGGGTTGCGATCCCGTTGCCGGTCCCCGGTCCGGTACGGGCGCGACACTGAAGGTTGCGATCCGTTGCCAGACACGAAAAAAGACAAATAAAAAGGGGGAAAAAAAAAAAAAAAGAGACAGGGGAAAAGAGGGCTCTAGTCCAGGGACCGTAGAGTGTGCAGGGGCTGCAGCCTGGGAAAGAACTAGGCTGGCTCAAGGAGGCCAGTAGGGCTGAAGGCTCCCATGAGGGGAGTGTTACCCTGATGAGACTGGAGGTGGTGGTGGGGGGGCAGGTCAGGCAGGGCTGGAGTCATGGGAGGGATTCAGACTCTTCATGTGCAGCGGGCAGGCGGGGGAGGATCAGGACCCAATGCATCAACCTTGACGTTAGTTCATTCAGCGCAAGAGCACAGTTGAGGATTGGTTGGGCGGCTCTTGCGGTTATCCAGGAGAGAAACAATGGCAGGGATGGACAGACATGGATGGATTCAAGAAATATTTTAGAGGACAAATGAAAAGGACTTGCTGACTGATTCAGTTTGGAGTCACAGGTAGCAAAGGTGAGGAAAGCATCAAGAATGGCTTCCAGATGTCTAACTTGATCCACCGATGAAGAGTGGCACCAGCTACTGCGATGGGGAGAATGCAAGAAGGACAGATCTGTAAATGTGTCCCTCTGTCTGCCTATCGATTGACTCACTGACTAGCAGATTAACTGGAGTTCGGCTTCAAACGGGTTACATTTGAGGGAGCTCTGAGACATCCAAGTGGGTTGTGTAATAAGGGGTAGTGTAAGTAGCGTGCAGAGAGGACCAAGTGCCAAAGGGGACAGAGAAGGGGGCACCTCTGCCTGGAGAGTTTAGAAAAGGTCTTATGGGGAAGGTGTCAGCTGGAGGTGCTTAAAGGACTCCTTGAAATTTAAAAAGTTTCACGGGTTTACTGAAGAGTCGCAACTCACTGCAGCTCCCATTCCCGGATCATCATGACTCTGGGATGCCCGTTACCAATCCTTCCACCACCTTGAGGGAAGTCTAGCTCTTTGTAGTCACTTTAGATATCAATCCCTGGTGCAGTTCACCTCGTCCCATCTCAGAGAGGAGTCCATGCTCTCTGCCTCCTCACGAGTGTTTCACCTCCTTTTTTTTTAAAAATTATAGGAGGCAGATTTCCGTTCCATAGGAAGAACATCCTATTAGTGTTATTCTTAAATGAAGTTGCCCTCTGCAGCCACCACCACTGGGTGCCGTTCTGTTGAGGATACTGCAAGGGGAGGGATGGGGCAAGGAGATCTTAAATTATTTTCTTTGAATTTACTTATCCTTTGGTACCCATATTTTACTGTTTCTGTGCCAAATTGATATTATTTTTTTAAAAAAAGTGTGACTCTGGAGTTGGTCCTGACTCTGTCATTTACTAGCTATGTGACCTGGGGCAAGTTTCCTAACCAAAGCCCAGTTGGTTCGTCCTTGGAATGGGCGTGATCCTCGTAGGACTGTTGTGAAGGTCAACTGTGATCACGTGATTTGCATGCCTGGCACACGCTAGATACCCAACAACTCTCCTTCCATCCCGTAACACTGTTTTATTAATGAATCATATAATGAATTACATAGCTGGATTCTCGCACAAAATAGGGTACCTGACAGAGAGTACCAGACCCACCCATTTCCTGTTGAGAGTTTCCTTTGAATCTATTTAGCAGAGTTACTTCCTTCTTTTGGGAGGAAGTGGAAGATAATTATGCAGCTGAGTTCTATAAATGAAAATACAGTTACAGAAAATAATATTTTTAGATTTCTTCTTTTTTTTTTAAATAAGCCACTATGATCTTTTAAGGATTGAGAATAAAAGCACCTCTCAATTTCATACTTGGAACTGGATCATCAACAAAATTATACTCTTTATCAGCAATAAACAGATGGTGAATTCTGTAAAAGGCAAGTTTGCACCCCAATCCCTCCGAGCAGAGAGGCGTCCCCCAACCTTGGCTGGCTCAGCACACAGCTCATGTCACACTGCACGGGGCTGGCCACATGTGCACTGACCTTTCCTGCTGGGCTGTCATTCACTTTTGGTCCACAGCCTGGATTAGATAGAGTAGGGGTTCAATCCGTATTTGTGGACTGAGTGAACCCAATATGCTTATCCCTTTAACATACACTGTCCTCCTTCCAGAGCCGGTGACTGCCCCATTGCTGAACATTACGGTCATTCGAACAGAAACAGGCAGACATATAACACTACGCTGCATCTCCTTCAATGGCTCACTGCCCATCAATTATACTTTCTTTGAAAAAAATGTCATCATATCACCAGCTATCTCTAAGAATGAAAGGAAGCCTGCTGAATTTAACTTAACCAAGAAGAACGCTGAAGAAGAGAAAGAGTATAGGTGTGAAGCTAAGAACAGATTGCCTAACCGTGCACTGTACAGTCAGCCTGTCACCGTGACCTCAGCAGGTAAGAGCTACCTGAGTTCTTCCAACAGGGTATGGATGTGCTTCCAGAAACTGCAGCTGCTCCTGTGCCCACCTGCTTCCCACTGTGGCCACCTGCTTCCACGTGCAGGGTCCCACTGGTAGGGGCCACACAACCTCTGCTGGGGTTGCTTTCTGCCAAAAAGGACCCATAGACAAGCCTAGAAGTGGGGGCAGGAAGGGATTTGCCCAGGATCTAAGCAGCTGTATTAGAATTTGCATCTCTCTTGGAGCTGCCAGGTCACTTGGTTTTCTTTGTTTTTCATTGTTTTTTTTTATTGACATCTAATGCCCATGCCCACATGCTTGGCTGTTTATTGCCCCATTACTAACATCTGGTGAGTCTAGACTCCCAGCACTGACCTTAGCTCGGAGCAGGAGAGGCCCCTGTTCCAGCCTTGTGTTTGCAGGGCTCTGGGCTGTGCACCTTCCCATAGGTTGAGTCATCCAGGGGGCCATGGGGATGTGCCTGCCTGGACCCTATCACCCACTTTTTAATCCCACACTCTGGGTATCTGGACCCAAATTTCTTTTTTTTTTTTTTTGTCTTTTTTCGTGTCCGGCAATGGACTGCAACCCTCAGTGTCGCGCCCGTACCGGACCGGGACCGGCAATGGGATCGCAACCCTCGGTGCTGCGCCCGCACCTCGCTCAGCCAGTGAGCGGGAACCGGTCTGTATATGGGATCTGAACCCTCGGCGGGAGCGCCACCGCACTTCCCAAGCGGCGCACTGTAGCAGTGCGCCACCGGGCCGGCCCCTGGACCCAAATTTCCTACCCAATCAGAACAGAACCCCCTTTCAGGGCCTGCATGTATCTCTTCCCAAGCCAGTCTCCCCAAGGGTGGGCCACAGCGAGGGTGTGAGCATCGCTGAACCCCAGCCAAGGGAGCTGTTTGTATGTGTGCGTGGGGGGGGGGCAGCATTTGGACATGCAGGGTGGGGGTTCCACGTGCATGTAAGGCCCTTCAGGGTGCAGGTGGGGAGGGAGGCAGACCAGGACTGGGGCTGGTTCCCCCTCTGCTGCCAGGTTCTGGTATAGAACTCTGAAGAGTCTGAGAATCTGAGATTCAAACCCAGACTTCCAGGTCCCTATGAAGGTAGATTTGTCAAGGTAAGAGCAGGATAGAACAAAACTAGTTTAGCAAAGGCAGAAGCCACACCTTGGACATTGCACACGTCATCCAGCCACATCCCCGGAAGAACAGAGCTCACACCCTGGTTTCAGTAAGTTCTAACAAGGGAGGCAGCCTGCTGGAGCCAGGCATTTGGTTATGAATCACAGCCCTTCCATTGACTAGCTGTGTGACCTTAGGAAAGTCACTTAACCTCTCTGAGCCTTACTTTCCTCATCCATAAAATTGGAGAGGTACCAATGAGGTAAATGAGACAACGCATTCTAATACTCAATGAATGTCGTTGTTTGGGTGACACGAGTCATGCCTGTGTGGCTGAGAGCTTTATGCAATGAACAGCCAGGCCTTTCTGGTGCTCACAATCCTAGCAGTGTTGTCCTAATCGGTCTGTTCAATGTTGTGCTGCTTTTCTCTGCCTTGCCCAACCCCTTCTGGAAGATGTACTTGGTCATGACTTTAAGAACTTCATTGATTAACAAGTTACTCTCAAGAGCTGCAGATGTCTACAGCAGTTTGGGGACCTGGGTACATAACAGGTTGGTCAACTTGGGCGACAGCTGTGGTTGTCCTTTCTAGAACCCTTATCAACTCAGTGTCAATGGAAAAGAAAGCTCTGTGGTGACCAGTGAATGCTGTCTCCTTCCAGGCAGAGACGGCTGTCCTTTCTGCCTGCAGCTTCTGCTTCCGGGGTTACTAGTGGTGCTAGTGATAATAATCCTAATTCTGGCTTTTTGGATACCATCAAAGTACAAAAGAAGTAAGTTCTTTAAATGTTTTACTATTGTCTTCTCATGGGTTTTGGATAGAGACAGCAGGGCAGAGGGCGAGGAGGAAGGGAAGGGGAGATCAGAAATGGAATGGGAAAAATATAACTTCCGAACAGTTCACACCAGTATAGTTCTCACATTTTCTGCAAAAGCCTTTTCTTTTTTTTTTTTTCCTTTTTGTCTTTTTTACTGACTGGTAACGGGATCGCAACCCTCGGTGTTGCGCCCGCACCGCGCTCAGCCAGTGAACGGGAACCGGTCTCCACATAGGATCTGAACCCTCGGCGGGAGCGCCGCCACACTCCCAAGCGGCGCACTCTCCAGTGCGCCACTGGGCCGGCCCTGCAAAAGCCTTTTCTGATAGAGATTGCAAGTGGGGCCGCTTCACAGGTGTGCAACTGACACACCAAGTGGCCAGGATCTGAACCCTCAGCGGGAGCACCGCCGCACTCCCAAGCGGCGCACTCTCCAGTGCGCCACTGGGCCGGCCCTGCAAAAGCCTTTTCTGATAGAGATTGCAAGTGGGGCTGCTTCACAGGTGTGCAACTGACACACCAAGTGGCCCGTGCTACAAAGAGCCCCCAACCCCCGTGCTTGGTTTAATGCTCTGCTGCCAATGCCTTGAAATTCTTCATAATTTTTGTTATCTTTCAAAAAAAATTTTTTAAGGCAGTAAAATATACAAAACATAAAATTTGCCACTTTAGCCATGTTTAAGTGTACAGGTCGGTGGCGTTAAGCACCTTCACACTGTTGTGCTGCTATCACCACGGTCCATCTCCAGAACTTTTTACATCTTCCAAACTGAATCTCTGTAGCCATGAAAAAAAAGATAATCAACCACATTATATATCGACCAAAAAAAAAAAAATAGCTCCCCATGTCCTCCTCCCCCAGCCCCTGGCAGCCACCATCTCATTTCTGTCTCTATGAATTTAACCATCTAAGTACCTCATGTAAGTAGAGTCATGCAGTATTTGTCCTTTTGTGACTGGCTTATTTCACTTAGATTAATGTTCTCAAGTTCATCCAGGTTGTAGCGTGGGTTGGAGGTTCCTTCGTTTGTAAGGCTGAATAATATTCCATGGTATATATATATATATACCCCACACTTTATTCACCCCTGCACGGTCACTTGGGCTGCTTCCCCCTCTTGGCTACTGTGAGTAGTGCTGCTATGAACATGGCTGTACCAATCTTCTGTTTTGGGGCTGGCTGGTACAGGGCTGGAACCCTGGCCCTTGGTGTGAACAGCACCATGCTCTACCCAACTGAGCTAACCAGCCAGCCCCTGCCCTATTTTTTTATCAAGAGGCCTCCCCCTTCATTTTGCCCTGGGCCCTGCACATGACATAGCTGGTCCTGACTGCAAGCTCCTCAAAGGCAAGAGCCTGGCCTTGTGCTATGCAGCGTCCTTACTGGATCCGCCACTCAGACAAAGCTCAGTGAATGAAGACAGACCGTTCCTCTCTTCCCCCACTTAAGTGCTGCATCTGGCAGAGAACTCACGGATGCCCTGAGAAGCCTCAGCTGCTGCTTTTCACCATTCACGTCGCGTGATCACCTCTGGCTAATATTTCACAGTGGCCTTTTCTTCTGGCACACAAGTGTGGAGGCATATCAAGGTTCGCACAGAAGACTGTCTGTGTGTCAGTTACTGGCACCCACCAGCAAGCGGAGGAGTGTTGGACAGGCTCCCTCGCCTCCCTGGGCCTCAGTGTTCTAACCTGTAGAATGGGGCCGAGATACTGTCAGAACTGGCAGGAGAACTAAATGATCAGTGCTAGGCCCCTGTGCCTCCTCCATCTCTAGAGTCACAACTCAGAGAAGTCAAGGACTCAGTTGACACAAAACTTGAAAACCGACGTCACAACCTATACATCTCAGACATCTTAGAAACATGTCTCTCTGTCCTTCAAAAACCCAGGTTGCTGAAAAAGTGTCATTAATAGTCTGGATTACTGGCTAGAGCTAAAAATAGAACTAACGCAACTGGCTCGTTTACTATCTCTTGAAGATATTACAAAGATGTTATGACTGTTCTCTTCAGTGAAGGAAAGAAAATGTGTCTGGCCACTTCAAGCACCATCGGGTAGGCAAAGCCCGGTCCTCACAGAGCAAGGAAAATGAATCAGAATAGCCCCTGGCTCGGAGATTGGGTGCCTTAGGCTCTTCGTTGAGTTCACGGTTCTCCTTTGACAACAGTTTAGGCCGTTAGAGCAGGTCGTCTTCCTTTCAGAACTTTGGGGAATTCTGCTCCTTGGCAGAGGAGAAAAATGTGGCTGAATTGGTTTAACTTAATGATTCTGTATCAATTCATGTAGGAAAAGCTATGAGAGGTCATGTGTCCAAGGATGGTGGAGACATACCCATGGAAGCTGGGATTTATGAAAATGTCTCTAAAAATCCAGCAGGTGAGACACCTTTGTTGGGTATTTTGGTTGGTTTTAGTTTTTTGTTTTTTGTTTTTTTTTTCTTCTCTATTTTTTTTAAGGTTGTACAGACACATGGGTAAAAAAATGGAACAAAAGGAATAGAGTTCAATGTCTCCCTTTCACCCTGACGCCTGGTCCCACTTTCCGGGGCTAATGAACAGTTTTTCAAATCCTTCCACAGATATCCTACGTGTGTGCTAAACAGTTGGTAGCAGAGGTGGCACATGCCTTTCTACACCTTGATCTTTTCACTTAACAACACATCTTGGAAATTTTTTTATATCAGTTTGGAATGATCCACACCGTGTTCCAAAATCTTTCATGGTCACCTCTTGTTTTTGGTTTTTTGTGTGTGTGGCTGGCACAGCAATCCAAACCCTTGACCTTGATGTTATAACACTGTGCTCTAACCAACTGAGCTCACCAGCCAGATCTATGGTCACCTCTTAGAGCAGGCGTTGCACACTGCTTTATGGTAGACCAGACCTGGGGCCGTGGCTAGCAATGAGAGCAACCTCAGCCAACACTAACGGAGCCCTGGACACGTGCCATGCACGGTGTCGAATAATTCACCTGCCCTGCGTGACACAAACAGCACTAACTCCCGATTTACGTCATTCCCATTTTACAGATGAGGAATCTGTGCCAGGCTTGGAATCAGGGCAAGGTGTTTCCACAGCCCAAGATGGTAAGTGTGCTCTGCAGTGTCCAGAGGCTCTGTGCCCCTGCCCTCTTATGGTCAGAGACTCAGCTCATTTGCCCAATAACTCCCCCTTGTCTTTTGCACAGGGACCACACAGTCCCAGGAGATCCATTACGCCACCCCCACATTCCAGGAGGGGACACCAGGAGAGCAAAGTGAGTCTCAGCTTGGGGTAAGAGGTATTGAAATGAGACAAGTGGTCCCTGTGATGTCACCGTCCTCGGGTGGCGGGGGGGGGGCAGCAGGCACCCCCCAGGAAACCAGTAGTAACCAACAGCACAGCTCCTAACCGACCTCCTTAGGAGGTGGAGGGGTGGGGAGCAGGATGTGGTAGGGAACGTCACATAAAAAATCCAGAGAGGAGGACGCAGAATCACTACTCAAACATTTTCTTTATTTAATTTAATTTTCTTTTACATATCCAATTTATCTGGATCAAACATTTTCAAGAATCAATTATTTGACACAGTCCAGGAAGAAGCAGTTAATACTTGGTTCTGTTAGGCCTCTCAGCTACTAGAAATAGGTTATTTTTTTTAGAGCCTCTTTGAACACATATCCTAAGTTTACTAAATTATTTTTCCTCTTATATTTCAGAAGTCTGTAATGACAGTAAAACTGGATATGTCTACTCTGAACTTGTCTTCGAAAGTTAAAGAAATGAACTACGTCTCAGGGTAAGACACTCTTTATGAAGCTGATTTACATAAAGAAAAAGCAAACTTGTTTGACACCTAAAAATATCTAACTTAGTTACCTAAAATACATCCCTGTTTTTTCATATTTAAACACCCTTCCTTTGGCTCACTTAGGTGCATCCAGTCCTGTCATCTGACAACAGTTTGGTCAGGTTGGACCCTGCTGGTAATGGATTTGAAATACTTTTGCTACGTGTAGGCTTGGACCGTTCTCCCCAGTCCCACATCATTTCAAAAATAATAATTATTGGGCCACCATGCTCTTCATAAGTGCATCCTGCAGGCATTACGACAACTGGCTTTCAGGTTTCCCCGTCCCCAACCAAGGGTTCAAAAGCAAAAACACAAAGCAAAATTCAAGTCTAAGTTCAGTGGGAGACCTTAAAAATGTGTCTGAAGACAACAGTGCCAGTTCTCTCGGTCAGCATGACAGAAAAGCAAGATCACTCAAGCATGCCTTTAGTACTCATTTTCTTTCAAATTCGGGAAGGCTGCAAAAATATTGCTGTGGATTTTCACTCTTTCTCAGTCCTCAGATTTAGCTGACCTCAAAGGTGAGCCTTTGTATGCTGTGTTTCCCAGCAGCATTCTGTGCAGAGAACTGCCCAGAATTGAGTTGGGGGAGGGTGGATCGCATTAGTTTCCTGGGGCCGCGGTAACAAATTACCACGAATTGTGGCTTAACACAACAGAGATAGGGCTGGCTGGTTAGCTCGTTAGAGTGCGATGTTGATAGTATCAGGGTTCAATCCCTGTACAAGCCACCAAAACAAACCCAAAACCCGGAAATATTATTTTCTCATAGTTCTAGAGGGCACAAGTCCCAAATCAAGGTGTCAGCAGGGCCACACTCCCTCCGAAAGTTCTAGGGGAGGATCTTTCCTTGACTCTTCCAGCTTCTGGTGGTTCCAGGCCTTCCTGGCTTGTGGCTTCTTCACTCCAAACCTCTGCCTCTATCTTCACAAGGCCTTTTCCTCTTCTCCGTCTCTCTGTCTTTTATAAAGACACTTGTCATTGGATTCATGGGCCAACCAAATAATCTAGGATGATCTCATCTCGAGATCCTTAATTTAATTAAATCTGCAAAGACCCTTTTTCCAAATAAGGTCACGTTCACACGTTCCAGGAGTTGGGACATGGACTTATCTTTTTAGGGCACAACCATTCAACCCATTACATTGACGAAATAATTTCTGGTTTGAATCTCTTGTTCCAAATAAATCTCTCATTCTAAATAAAGTTCAATAAAAGTCAAGAGGCATTTCTAGGATTCCAGACAGACAAAGGTACTTGACCAAAATATTTCTGGTCTGTGCTTCTTTTGAGGTTTGCCTGAACCTCAGTCTTAATAGTTCCTAACAGTGGACCTCCAACTAGAAAATTCATAGTTTTTGTTAATTAAACACTAATTCTGTGGTTACATTCTACAGGACCAATATTAATTTGCTTTTACAGTTAAGGAAACTTAGGCTCAGGCGGATTAAGTTGTCTGACAAAGTCACTCGCAGTTTGGTAAATGGTTGAACTGGGTGTTAAATCCTAGCAAAGAACAGCAGAAGCCCTCGTCATGGGAAAACCTCTTCAGGGCAGGAAGGGATACACAGAAGTCCAGATGCATTTGAGGACTATGTTGCCATAAAGCAGCATTCAGGAGCATAATTTCCCCCTTTCTCTGTTGATATTTTTATTTGAGACTAAGAGTGTGGGGGCTCTGGAGTCAGACAGATCCAGAATGTAGGCTCAGGGATGTGCTGTGTGACTGTGGATAAGTTACCTAACCTCTCTGGGCTTCAGTGTCCTCATTTCTGAGAGAGGAAAATAACACTCACATCATGGAGCTGCCATGTCAATGAACTTCAGGTAAGGACAGGCTTCAAATAGAATCAGACACCTAATAAGAACTCAAAAAAGGCTAGTACTCAAAGTGTGACGATGCTTACTCTGAGACATACCAGTTGGCTGTACTCTTACAAACCCTTAAGCCTTTGATTCCCTACACTTGGTGACCGCTACCATTGGCTTCTTCATCTGTCTTCACCTGAGCTCCCCTCTAAAGCAGAGCCTGAGACAAGGACCTGGCTGCAGGAAGTTTATATGGGAGGTGATCCCAGGGAGCAGGAATGAGGAACAGGAAGAGCGACACCGGGAAGAAGAAAGAGCCAGCACAGGGAATTATCCACTTAATGGCCATAGGGATAACTGGGTTTGATTCTGTTAAGACCATCCGAGGTCTTAACATTTATCCATCAGGTGCCACCATAAGAAGACATATGTGCCAAGACGGCTGGTCCACCAACCACAGTGTCAGAGCAGGGCAGTGAGCTAAAGATGTGCATTCCACACTCGGGCATGATTCTGCCGAGGTGGAGGGAGTCAAAGCCCCCACAGATCGGTTTCCACAGCGGTGGCTGGAATGAGAGGAGATACCAAGAGGTGGTACACGAGAGCAGGCTGATGCAATCCCCTACCCACCTGCGCCACTCACACCTCCCATGCCCTCCAGGAAATTGAATCTGCTGGTCGCAATCTCCAGAAGGCCTAACGAGGGAGGGTTAATGGAATCAGCTACAGTCCCTGCTGCTGCAGCTGGTCCTCGGGTCCTAATCTCCCTCTTGCCACCATTCATTCTAGATTTTCTTCACCCTCCACCCAGCATTTCAGCGGGTCTAGATGGCTGGGGTGACCTAGATCTTCAGCCCTGCAGGGTCTGAGCCCCTAGCTGCTTTGCCCTTGTTGGGCCATAGTTGCTGCATCTGCCATTTCCTATTGTCCCCAGACATGAAAGCGTGCAGAGATCCCCCTCCCCAGTGAAGCCCTAGACATATGGCCACTGCACAGGCACTGGGATGGCCGAGTAGCTGGTAGTCACCAGACAAGCCATTTTATCCACTGGGTTGTTACGTGCCTCTCCTTCTGTGGATGCTCCCTGGTGAGCATTGACAAGGGACATGAAGATCCCCATGCTTTATGCCCACTCCCACAGGTTCACCCACATCTTCTTCCCCAGATCTCCTTGTCTCTGATCTTCTAATCTTGCTCCTTCCAGGTTCCCAATCAACTCCACAAGCCACTTGCTACTGTCTGGGAGCCTGAGTATATTCTCACCTCAGATCATCTCTCCCTCCATACAAAACAGATGTCCACACGTACCGCTTGAAGTTCTTCCCACTGGGAGGATTCTTCCTTCTCCTCTGCCTTGTAGGACTGCCCTGATGGGAGCACAGGGTGGCAGGAGTCTGTCTCTGATTCTTACCAAAATACCAAGCCCACCGGCCTGTAAGCCAGGTCTCAGTTTTCCTTCAGCTGGTCGTAGGTATGAGCTAACAGAGAGACATCGGAGCAACAGAAGCAGGTGACAGGAGAGTCTGTGCCATCTGCTCATGGGTCTTATGCTGTGCCCGCTGGACCTGCTCAGGCCCAATGCTGAACATCTCACTTCCTCTATGCAATGGATCGTTGGTGTTCCCACCCAACATTTTGAGTTGGTGGAGATGACAATACCTCTCTTAGTCCATTTTGTGTTGCTATAACAGAAAATGGACTAAGAGACTGGGTAATTTATAAAGAACAGAGGTTTATTTGGTTTATGATTCTGGGACAGCTGCATCTGGCACGGGCCTCAGGCTGCTTCTACTCATGGTGGAAAGTGGCAGGCAGCTGGTGGGTACAGGCAGATCACATGGCGAGAGGAAGCAAGAGAGAGAGAGAGAGGGGAGGTGCCAGGGTCTTTTTAAACAACCAGCTCTCGCAGGAACTAATCAAGCAAGAACTCACTCATTAATCCCCCTTCCCCAGGGAGAGCATTAACCCATTCATGAGGGATCCGCCCCCATGACTCAATCAGTTTCCAACACTGCCACATTGGGGATCAAATTTCCACATGGAGAGAGAGAGAGAGGAGGTGCCAGGGTCTATTAAACAACCAGCTCTCGCAGGAACTAATCGAGCAAGAACTCACTCATTAATCCCCCTTCCCCAGGGAGAGCATTAACCCATTCATGAGGGATCCGCCCCCATGACTCAATCAGTTTCCAACACTGCCACATTGGGGATCAAATTTCCACATGAGTTTTGAAGGGGACAACACACCCAAACTCCATCAATACCCCACTCCTGGTGGGCATCTCTGGTCACATGATCACTTGATGTCCTATGCTCAGGCACTTGGTCTCTTCTAGGGCTCAGTCATATGCCAGGAGCTGTTTTCAGATGGTGGGTTATTCTTTGCTGCAGAAGATGCAAGCTTGCTACAGAACCCAGGAGTCTTGCTACATGTCTCCACACTTACTCTTATTTATTACAAATCCCTCTGGCAACACCAGATCTGCCAGATCATATGGGTTGAGTAGCATGTGGGTTGCCTGCATGTGGGGGCAATTCAAAACTGGCAGCCTCTCAAGTCACCTACTTTTTTTTTTTTTTTTTTCCTTTTTGTCTTTTTTACTGACCGGTAACAGGATCGCAACCCTCGGTGTTGCGCCTGCACCGCGCTCAGCCAGTGAATGGGAACCGGTCTCCACATGGGATCCGAACCCTCGACAGGAGAGACGCCGCGCTCCCAAGCGGCGCACTCTCCAGTGCGCCACCAGGCCGGCCTTCAAGTCACCTACTTTAATGGAACAATACACTGCAGTGTGGTCCCTGCTGCCTGCAAAATTCAAAGAGTCCTACCAAGTACTGTGCCCTTCAGAGGGTATATTCTGGAATGCTTCAGATCACTGGACCCCTAAAGAGTTCATTAATGTGGCAGGAACCTGAATTTATATAGAGTTCATCTCCCACCCTGTAGTATGCATATATCTTACCAGGGCATCTTGAGTTCCTGCCATAGGTCTGTACTCCTCCTGTTCACCAGTCGTTTTAGCATGATGNCACTCTCCAGTGCGCCACCAGGCCGGCCTTCAAGTCACCTACTTTAATGGAACAATACACTGCAGTGTGGTCCCTGCTGCCTGCAA